AAAAGATAAACATATTCATCAGACAAATAAACTAGAAAATCTATGATTTTTCGTTCATTTTCCAACGAAACATATGAAAGAAATCAAACATCCACAGAAAATAAAAACAAGCACAGTGGATTTTTTAAAGGAAAAAACAGAACTGGATTTGATGGGAGGAATCCAACCCACGGGCTCAGGCTCCCACCATCTGCTTCACCATTTTCCTAAAAAATTCCTGTGTTCAGAACTATAACTAACAACAAACACCGAAAGATGGAATCCCTCTTGCAACTTGAGGATCTCTTTTCTCAAACACCAATCTCCTTCCAACAGAAAAAACCCCCTTCTCTCCGCCGTCAACACCAGACTCAAAACCAAAAGAAACCCCCCCATTTCTAACTTAAAACCCTCTATTTATACCCAAACAAAGAAACCCTAAAAAGAACTTTCCAGAAATCAACTCTCCGGGCCTTTTGGATCCACGGCTTTAGGGCTTCTCAAATCTGTTTCTTCTTTACCAGAATCTGCAACATGCACTAGGGCCTCTCCGATCTTTACCCTTTTACAAAAATCTGCAAAATGCATTTGGGCCTCCAATCTACGCCCAATTCATCCTGTCGTCACCCACTAGTGATCCCTAGCTGGCATAGATTTAGTCTGCAGATCTGTTTCAGTTGGATGACGACTGAGGTTTCGCCAAATCGCTGCATCCTCGCGTGAACAGCACCGCTGTCGCGAATTGCTAGATCCGGCTTCATTTGCTCTAGTTCTATTGTTCACTCGCCGGCGTAGGTGATGTTGGACTGCGGCAGTGGTTCTCGGAAATCACCGGTGATCTTGAGAAAAAGGACGGTTGTTAACTGTCTTGAGGAAAGGGGAAAATCAGGGGAAGAAAAGGTGAAAAGGGGTCGGTAGAATGAAAAGCCATAGCTGGTTGAAGAGGATGAGCCATCTGCAGCGGGAAGGGGATTGAGAGGCCGAAGATCTGCATGAAGAAAGAAAGGGGAAACCGAAGGAAGAAAGAAGCCGAGGGTTACGTGGGAGGGGGGAAGTCTTGGGTATGGAGGGAAAGCTTGGTTGGAGGTAAAGCTCGGTTGGAGAAGGAGAAGGGAGACGGTTGTGATGGTGGTGATGAGGATGGTGTGGTGATCTGAGAATGGAAACAAGGTGGTGATTGTATGGTGGCTTTTGCAGAAAACGCAATCTAAGAGATAATGGTGAGGGTTGACTGGAAAAAAGAAGAAATAGAAGGTTCCAGAGTTGTGCCACTCTCTTTTTCTTTTCCTTTTTTTTTTTTAATGTAAAACGGTTAGTCTTGAGTTTGGTTTTTCTTGTTTGGGTTTTGGTTTTGGGTTTGAGGCTTAAACTTTAATGCGTTCCACCCTTCAACTTTCAATTTCTTCAATTGAGTCCCTTATCTTAATTTCCTTCATCTTCTTTTCCAATCCTTTTCGCAAAATCCCCTTTTTTGCTCATAAACCTAATAAGGAAAATAAAGACAAAACATATCAGTTAAAAATAAAAATAAAAACTAAAATAAAAATAAAACTAAACTAAAATAAAATAAAATTCTATTAAAATTTTTAGTTATGACAGAGTATTTATTGAAGAATTGTAGTTTTTGGATAGTTTGAGTTCTTACATATGCTTCATGGGATTGGAGAAAAATCCTTAAGCTTCGACCAAAGGCCAAAAAACTTGTCAAGCATATTCTAGGGGATGGCAAAGACATATTCATTTGGCATGATGGTTGGCATCTAGTTGGTCCATTGATTGAAAATTAAGGATCCAAAATAGTTTATGATGCAGCTATTCCTTATCAAGAAAAGTTAGTTGTGGTAGTGTGAGGTAATTATTGGAATTGGCCTTCATCCCACTCTCCACAATTAGTTTAGATTCAAGTTGATCTATGTGGCAATCTATATCCCTAAAAGGGAATTAAAGATACTGTTGTGTGCGTACCCTCAACCTTTGGAAGATTTCATATTGGGCAAACATGGCATTGGCTAAGACAAAAGCGCAAAAGGGTTCCTTGGTTCAAGCTAGTATGGTTTTCAAACTCTATTCCCAAACATAGCTTCATTGGGTGGTTTGAATAGGCTAACCACTAAAGCAAGGCAGAAAAAAAAAAAAAAAAAGACATCAAGCATCATTGATATCTGCACTTTATGCGTTTCAATGTCAAAAACATGTGAACACATGTTTTTTAAGTGTAGTTTTTCAACTCAAATTTGGCAGACTTTGTCATCCATGGCTGGCATTCCTTTCCATGATTCAGATCTCACTTTATTGGCTTGGATGGGGAAAAGAATTAGGAGGAAATCTTTGCAAGTGACCTTTATAAAACTTGCATGGAATGTTGTTGTATATCATATTTGGATGGAGAGAAATTGAAGGATTCATGAGCAAACCTTCAAATTAGTTCAACTCATCATTATTGCTGAAATTCAGAGAGACGTTTGTGATAAGATTTTGAGCTTTGCTAAGCCCCATTCTTCTCCCTTGTCCCTTAGCATAGCTAGTTGGTGGGGGCTTGAAAACTTTGTGTAGTGAAGTTTTCTTCTGAAGTTTGTAGGAGTTATTTCTTTTTGACGTAGCAACTGTTTTTTGGTTGCTTGATTGTATATTGACAGTTTTATTGGATAAATAATATTTCACATTTTATCCCAAAAAAAAATTATTTCATTAATTGTAAAAAAATTTTATGTGGTTAAATATATGTTAAAAAATTTAGTTATTTTTTTCAATTATGTTTGGTTTTGCTAATTTTAGTGGCCTAAATTTTTTTTTTTAAATAACAAGTCAAGGCATTTAAAAATATCGACATATAAACTGTTTTTTTTTTTTTTTAACATTGAAAAATTGAGAGAAATGAGATAACATTACGAGAAATTAAACCATAGTTGTGTTCATGGTTAAGGTCCATCTTACCAATACAGCCACAATTTCAAGTGCGACATATAAACTAATTTTAAATTATCAAATGATAAAAGCATACATAATATATATAATATGAATAAAATAATTAATCTAATAATAAAAATTTCAAATATTAACTATATTGTATTGAAAATTATAATTTATAAGCTTGTCAGATAATTCTTTATAAGTTTTTTTTTTTTGCCGGAACATTTTATCCTTTATTCTTCTGTACGGTTCATTTAATAAAATATAGCGGCGGAGAGGACCAAAAGGACTCCAAACGGTGCCGTAGAGGCGTCCAGGATTCAGACCAGGATAAATAGCCGTTACAAAGTTACCACTCAGACCAACGCGCGGGGTCGTTGGGAATCGACGCTACCAAATTCAAAAAATTCGACCGTTGTGGAGCGTTAATTATTCTCCCTGGAATCAGTTCCTCACCCAAAAACCAAACAACAGAAACCAGAGACCTCCAGTTTCACTCCCCCCTCCCCTTCCCCCACAGCAGGAAGAAGAATTTTGCGGAAACAATATTCCGAACACACAATTTCAATGGCGGTGGCGGCTGATGAATCATCCAGAAGCAGCATTATCACCATGATTGACGAGGTCTACGAGTTCTCTGCGCCGCGATTCTTTGATTTTATAAAGGGAGAGTCAGAAGAAGAAGCTCGTAGGGCCGAACTCTGGTTCGAATCGGCATTAAGCTACGCCCCGTCTCGTATGTTCTCTTCTATCTCTTTTTGCCCTTTTTACTCAATCGAAAGTTGTTATGGTTGGTTCTTCGTTCTTGATTTTCTTGAATTAATTAGGGTTTCTCGATTGCTTTTTTATCTTCCGCTACTTCTGATTTTGATTGTTTGTCTTCGAATTTTTTGTTAGCCTCGCTTTAGGTATTGGAGTTTTAGGACTTTATCGTATTCGGAGATGAATGAAGGAAAAGGGGAGGATTCTCCCGTGTCTGATTATTTTGTGGGCAAACATTTGGACTTCTAGAAAATTCCACGAATTTGTTAGACAACGGAGAATTGGAATTGGTAGGAAGAGAATTAGGGCATTCTCGAGCCAACATAGGGGAAGTAAATGCTCGATAAATTTACTCCTTTTCCTGTATTTTGTCGGCATCCAAACAGCGGGATCTAGAATAAAAGTTAATGTGTGGGCCAGTCAGAGAAAATTTATGTTGAATGCACACTGTGTTTGGTTACTGAGAAATTAAAATGTGAATCAGACGGGCTGTTGTTTTATTATTGTTTGTAATACAGGTCTTAGGTCTGTCTTATTAAGTCGAAGTTTTCTAGGATCGTTCTAAGTACTCTTCAGGAGAAATTTGAGGAAATGTTGTTTGATTGTGTTCTGCTTGTAGTTTCTGTTCATGGTTTTTAGTCCTTTAATTCTTTCTGGATCATTTATGCAGCATTTATGGCTAGGATCAAGAAAGGTAGATCTTTTAAGGTGGAGACGTTGTGTGATTTTAGTGAAGCGGTAGATCAAATGCAGAAGGAGGTGACGTTGCTCGCTATAATCCTTAAATTTCAATACTTGAAAAGCAAGTTTTTGACTAATTTGTTCACCCTATCTTGTTCATGTTGCAGACCTCGGAATCTGATTCAGCAGCTACCCACTACAACTCGGAAGACAAGCCTCAAATTGAGCTCATGCCTGAAATAAAGGAAGAGAAAGTTACCGCTACTGAGGCAAGGGAAGATAACAATGAAGAGCAACTCAATCAGGTAACTGTATAGTGAATGGTACTAGTATTACCATTATTTGTGTGTTTAATGTTGAAACGTCTTTGGTATATGAACCTTTGTTGTTGCTGGTCTCATAATTCAAGCACTTCCCAGATTTGCAAGGCTAATGGTGAGGAACAAGAGGGCAAGGCTGTATGCAATGAGGTCCACTCTGATAGTGTACCAGCAGAAGGCGCATCTTTAGTTCAAGTAGGAAACGAAGTATGCACCCCTAAACCACTTCTAAATTGTAAAAAAGAGCTAGAGATTGACAAGAAGCACCACCAAATTGGCAAGTCAGCTAAAAAAATTGGTGATTTAGCAAGGAATCCATCAGCCTTGAGGCCAAAGAATCAGTTACAATCATCAAAGGCCAATAGTACCACCAAACTGGCAAGTGAGAAAAGGTTGGTGATTTTTCTACCCACAATGCTCTCAATATTGAGCTTCTCTTTGGCTATCTTGCACTTTTAACTGATTTAGTTATCATTCTGTTTGTAGAGAGACAAACGTTAAAAACATGACAGGAGCTCCTAGTTTTGCACAAGAAAATCAAGCCATTAAGCGGCAGAAGCTAGAAGGAGGAAGATCTAGACAGGTAAGTTATACTATTCTCTTTATTTGTGTACGATTACCATGCTCTTTCTTTTGATGTCTTCTTCCTTATCAGCATCCTTCTTAATCTCATCACAGATTCTGAACCCAAAACCAGTTAATCTGGCTCACAAATCAAAACTGGGTCTTGCTAGTGGTACGTGCTCATCTGCTAAGACATCTAACAAATTGGAAAGAAAGGTTTGTTTCATATACTAATTCATTTTCAATTCATTTTTTACTAACATTTTCTAAATGCTTGTTAAATTTTATGAGTTGGCCTTTAAACCATTTTGAAAAATTGGCTCGTTCATTTGAAGGTTTATGTTCGGGAACAAGCAGAACCATTTGTTTCAATGGCAGAAATGATGAAAAGGTTTCAATCAAGTACAAGAGACTTGTCACTCGCGCACGCTAATAGCTCTGTTTCATTTGTACGTAAATGGAATACATCATTTTCCTACAAATGACCTCGGTTTCCCTTTTTCCTTACTTTCTTGCCCCTCTTTCGTTTCCCCTTTTCCTTTTGGAAATTTCTCTAATTACTTAGGATGTTGCTCCTACTACCATCCAGGGGAAGCCTAAGCTCACATTAACAAGGCCCAAGGAACCTGAGTTTGAAACAGCTCAGAGAGTGCGATCAGTTAGAATAAAGAGCACCGCTGAGCTAGAGGAAGAGATGATAGCTAAAATTCCAAAGTTCAAAGCAAGACAATTGAACAAAAAGGTATTTTCTATTAATCAACAATTCAGAACTTCCAACTTCCATCTGGTTCCGTTTATGTATAGTAGGTTGACTGTCTTTACTTATAATAGAATACCATTTTTAGCATTTTTTCTATTTCATTGCCTGTCACAGATTCTGGAAGCTCCCACACTTCCTGCATTACAAAGAAGTACACCAAAGCCGCCAGAATTTCAAGTAAGGATAGTAAATATAGATAGTGATAAGAAAAAGAAACATAAAGCATATAGATGATAGATCCCATGGTGAGACTGAGTTTTTTTCATGCTACAGGAATTTCATCTTGCGACAATGGCAAGAGCGAGTCAGAATGCTGAAACATCTTCAATAGCCTCAACCGCAGTGTCCCGTCATGTGAGAACCATATTCTGCTGATACTTGATTAACTTCAGATTTGGGAGTGGTCTCAGTTTGCTTACATCTCTTTACGTGTTTGTTTTTTGACTACTTTTTTAACAGAACAACCAGTGGAAACCTCATCTAACAGAACCTCAAACCCCTTTACTTCAAACATCATCGAGGGCCCGTCCTCCAAAAGTCAAAAGTTCTATCGAACTTGAGCAAGAAGAACTCGAAAAGGCCCCTAAATTTAAGGCAAGGCCTTTGAATAAAAAGGTACACCCTCGTTTCTGTAGTGCTTGCTTGATGTCAACCTTCCCTTTAAATTAACTTTGGTGCTGACATTCTATAGATATTTGAAAGCAAAGGGGAACTGGGGATCTCCTGTCATGAAAAGAAACAGGTAACCATACCCCAAGAATTCCATTTTGCAACAAATGAGAGGATACCACCACCAGCAGCTGTTGTTGATTTATTTGATAAGGTAGTTACTGGAAATGTTACTATGTCACTTTACTAGTCTGCGCATAGGAAATTTCATTATGATTACTTATTTTATCATTTAAAAATATTTTACAGCTTTCCCTGAAATCAGAACGTCGCCATGATCCGATTACAAAAAGCACAATTCCAAATCCATTCCATCTCCATACAGAGGTTTGTTTGAATTCACTTTCTTGGCTAGGTTAAAAGAACAAGATACTGGGAAAAAAGTTTTAAACTAATAGTTTCATGATTGACTTCAGGAAAGAGGAACTGAAAAGGAAAGAAGATTTGTGATGGAACTTATGCAGAAGCAGCTGGAAGAAGAAAAAGCCAGAGTCCCCAAAGCTAATCCATATCCTTATACAACTGATTTCCCTGTGGTACAGCAATCTATTTTTTTTTTTTTCTCTCAATTTAGTTTCCGTTTAAGTATTTACCACGAAATTGTGCTATAACTGTGGCTATTTTTCTGTAGATTCCTCCAAAACCAGAGCCTAAGCCATGCACAAGACCAGAACCTTTCCAGTTGGAGAGTCTGGTTAGGCACGAGGAAGAAATGCAGAGGGAGATGGAAGAGAGATGGAGGAAGGAAAAAGAAGAAGCTCAAATGAGGTTGTTCAAAGCACAGCTAATTCTGAAAAAGTGAGTTATTATAATATCCATATAGACTTGTATTCATTCATTTCAAGGCTGTCTTTTGACAAGGTTTAGAAATAGGTATTGATTCTTGTTCAAAAACATGGCTGTCTTTTGCAGGGATCCAATTCCTGTTCCAGACAAGGTGCGCAAACCTCTGACTCAAGTACAGGAAGTAAAACTCCATGTAGATCACCGTGCTGTGGATAGAGCAGAATTTGATCAAAGGGTAAATTACCTTGCCGTTTCTCGTGAGTCTGTATTGAAATGCATTCTCATGGATAAATGATGATGATTTTTCCTTGAAATACAGATAAAGGAGAAAGAGATGATGTATAAGAGATATAGAGAAGAGAGTGAGGCTGCTAGGATGGTACATACTATCATAATTTTATTTCTAAATTTAGATTGTCATTGATGTTGTGACTACCGTCGAAATATACTTTAACATTTATCATACATTTCCATTGGCAGATAGAGGAAGAGAAGGCATTGAAGCAATTGAGAAGGACAATGGTTCCTCATGCAAGACCTGTCCCAAAATTTGAAAATCCTTTCTGCCCACAGAAGTAAGAAGAAAAAACTTGTATTCTTTTTCTCATTGATTTTTTTCCCTCTTTTTCCTCTTTCCTTAATATATGGATATTCCACGGTCTTTTTTCAGGTCTGCCAAGGAAACTACAAGGCTAAAATCACCAAATCTACGTGTTCTTCGAAGAAAAGAACAAAGAAAAATGGTGGGTTCACTCACTGCAACTTCCAGCCCTGCTACTCTTATGAGATGATTTGGGTTTCAGATTTACGAACATGGTTAGGATGGGCCATTCAAGAATATAAGGGTTGTGTTTTATTTATAACATTTTATTCTTTGAAGGAGTTTAAGCACTCCACTTTGTTTCAGAATTCAGAACAATAAACCATTCTGACAATACTTGTGCTCTAATTTCGATTCATCAGACTCAATCATGTAAAGTTCTTAGAATGAAAAATGAAGATGACTATTGAGTTCCATTTGAGAGTCCTTACTTTTTTTTTTTTTTTTTTTTTTTCTTTGGCTTACACCCTTTTACTAACTCTTTGAAAATGAGAATTTTGGGTAAAGTGTTAGGATAAAAATGGTTGAGATTTTCCTTTCAACATTTGCATAACTCCTTACTCAACTCTTATTAAAAATCACTTATATAAAATTTTGATCATTAATTTTTTTATTATAGATAGTTGTGACTTTTTTTTTGTCTTACTATGAATAGTTAAAATTCATTACAATTTTTTAAATAAAAAAGACAATTATATTTAAAGAGAATGGATCCACTTATATATAAGTTTTACAAACTATATTTATACAAAATCTCAATTATTTATTTCTCTACTTTCAATTATTGAGATTTATAATATTTTTTAGGTAAAAAACTAATTATTTTTAATAAATATAAATAAATTTCAACCATTCAAAATGGAAAGATAAATAATTGAGATTTTATATAAGTGAAGTGTGTAAGTGAATTCTAACTCATGTTTGAAAACTAAGATAACAAGTGGATAAATATCAACATTCATAATTGAGAGATAAATTATCAAGATTTTATATAAGTATTATATTAAAAAATTATGTACATGAGAATTTTAGGTAAAGTGTTAGGATAACAGTAGTTGATATTTTCCTTTCAACATTTGCCTAACCCTTACTCAACTCTTACTAAAATCACTTATATAAAATTCTTACCATTAATTTTTTTACTATAAATAGTTGTGATTTTTTCTCCTTAATATGAATAGTTAAAATTTATAACAATTTTTTAAATAAAAAAGACAATTATATTTAAAGAGAAGGGATTGAAGGAATTCACTTATATACAAGTTTTACAAGCTCTATTTACACAAAATTTCAATCATTTATCTTTCTACTTTCAATTATTGAGATTTATAATGACTTTTTAGATTAAAAAAATAATTATTTTTAATACATGTAAATAAATCTCAACCATTTAAAGTGAAAAGATAAATAGTTGAGATTTTATGTAAGTGAAGTCTAATTCATGTTTGAAAAAAAAGTTAACAAGTGGATAAATATCAACATTCTTAATTAAGAGATAAATTATCAAGATTTTATATAAGTATTATAAGTAAAAGTTGTGAAATGAGAATTTTAAAGTGTTAGGACAAAAGTGGGTGAAATTTTCCTTTCAACATTTGCATAACCTTTACTCAACTCTTACTACAATCACTTACATAAGATTCTAATCATTAATTTTTTTATTATAAATAGTTGTGATTTTTTTTTTTTTGCCTTAATATGAATAGCAAAAATTTATCACAATTTTTTAAATAAAAAAGGCAATTATATTTGAAGAGAAGGGATCCACTTATACATAAGTTTATACACTCTATTTATATAAAATCTCAATAATTATTTTCTCTATTGTCAATGATTGAGATTTATAAGGATTTTTTAGATTAAAAAAATTATTTTTAATAAATGTAAATAAATATCAATCATTCAAAGTGAAAAAATAAATAATTGAGATTTTATGTAAATGAAATATGCAAGACTTATGTGTAAGTGAATTCTAATTCATGTTTGAAAAAAAAGATAACAAGTGGATAAATATCACCATTCATAATTGAGAGATAAATTATCAAGATTTTATATAAGTATTTTATGTAAAAATTGTGTGAATGAGAATTTTAGGTCAAGTGTTAGGAAAAAAGTGGTTGAGATTTTCCTTTCAACATTTGCATAACCCTTACTCAACTCTTACTAAAATAACTTATATAAGATTCTAATCATTAATTTTTTTACTATAAATAGTTGTGATTTTTTTTTTTTTTGCCTTAATATGAATAGCAAAAATTTATCACAATTTTTTAAATAAAAAAGACAATTATATTTAAAGAGAAGGAATTCACTTATACCCAAGTTTACACACTCTATTTATACAAAATCTCAATCATTCATCTCTTTA